TTTAAAAAAAAAAAAAAAAAAAAAAAAAAAAAAAAAAATTATTTTCAATCATTTACTTAATATAACATAAATTTTGGCAATTGAGTTCAAGTACTGTAAATTTACTTAATCTAGGAGATAAGGAAAGTCCTGTCTCAAGCTAAGCTAGATTATAACTTATATAGAGAGATAAACTACCAAAACCTCCCATGGTTAGCAAGGGAATTTTAATCTATGATTTGTCTACCACTAAAGATACTATACAGAGAACCATGGTTTAGGGGTGAGCCAGAGACTGAATTTGTATCGGCCAGCCTTTGTCGTTATTCAAACCTAGGTCACCTCATTCAGAAGAGAGCACTTTATCCGTGAGTCACCTATGTCCAAGTATGTCAACATTTTCTTTTATATCATAACCGGCATTGAACAGCCGATAGAATTCTGAGTTTACGACTATCAATGCTAATTTTCTGTTACTTCGTAATCTTGAACCTAACCCAGAAGACGAAGGAACTCCTGGCTCAAGTATTAGGACAAACTAGCCGTAGTGGAGAACTTTTTGATGGAACACAGTTGTATCACGTGGTGAAGAAATTACGAAAACCTCCCTAGGTGAGTCAAATGGCAAAGGAATATTCTGACAAATGATCAGCCTACTACTGAGGATATTTCTTTAACAGCACTGTTGTCAGTGCAAACCAGGAGCAGTATTCGTATCAACCAGCTAGGGATGGGATTCGAATCTGGGTCAACTCATTGTGAGGTGAACGTTCTATCCCCTGAGCCACCATGTCTCAAGTATATCAATACTTTATTTTATATCCGTCGTTGAACAGCTGACTCAACTTTTGGGTTTACGACAGCTAATATTCAACTCCGTAGCCTTGTAATTTTGAACCAATCCAGAAGACAAGGAAATTCTTGGATCAGTACCCCCAGAGGTATTGATTTGTTATGGGAACATGGAGGACTTTACGACTCGACAGATTTATCGTGCACCAGTCACCATTTACTACACGGGGAGTCTTCGGCCGGCGGGGATCGAATCCATGAACTCTTGGACATGGGCCCAGCGCCTTACCGACGAGGTTATCGCGGCCAAGTATATCAACATTTTATTTTATTTTATTTTATAACCGTCGTTGAACAGCCGACCCAAGTTCATGGGTTTACGACTACTAATGTTCAACTCTGTAGCCTTGTAATTTTGAACCAATCCAGAAGACAAGGAAACTCCTGCATCAGTACCCCCAGAGGTATTGATTTGTTGTGGGAACATGGAGGACTTTGAGACTCGACAGATTTAACGTGCATCAGTCACCATTTACTACACGGGGAGTCTTCGGCCGGCGAGGATCGAACCCACGACCTCTTGGATATGGGCCCAGCGCCCTACCCACCAGGCTATCCCGGCCCAGTATATCAACATTGAAATTTCTATGGTTGTGATAACTTGATCACAAACAGAAATCAACTAGAAGTAAGATAGAACAATTGAACCATGTGATAGAAAAAGCCCTGTAATAACATTTATTTTTAAGAAATTCTTAACTCTCAGAAAACAGATAAACTACTAGATTTTTCTCTTATTGTATATTAATTATATTAAATCACTTTTTTAGAAAGATTCTCATTAGATTACTTAAGAATCATGTGCAGACGTGTCTGGGGAAAGGAAATCGGCTTCATTTAATGAAAATAAATGCTTAATTTTGCAAATTTCCTGTTAAACAGCCAAATTCTTTTTTCCTTTTTACAAAATATAAGAAATCAATGAAACAAATCGACTTCAATGGGTATATCTCTAAACTTAAGAATTTAAATTAGTTTTTCTTTGTATTTATCATAAAATATATAGAAGTTGCTAATTTAGTATAAAGCAAAAAAAAAAAAAAAAAAAAAAAAAAAAAAAAAAAAAAAAAAAAAAAAAAAAAAAAAAAAAAAAAAAAACATACATTGAAATGAAATATATATTAATGTATACATATTCTAAATAGAAATTTAAGATTAGAAAATGCAAAGAAATAACAAAAATGAACAATAAAAAATGTCAGTGTATTATAACAGTGCAGTAACTGATAACATAAACTACAGTAGAGCGCCGATTATCCAAACCCTTATTATTCGAACGTCCAATAATCCGAACCATGTCTGAATTCGTCATTATTTCTCACCAAATTTATATTAGGTTAACTTATAAACTTAAAAATTATTCTAACTGTACACACATAAAATTAAGATAAATGGAAGGTAACACAAACCAGAAATGGTGCAAATCAGAACACATTTGTCTTGTATAGAGTTAATAACAAATTTTGTGACAGTTAGGTAAAATATATTTCATAGTTGTTACACTTAATAAATATGAATTGTTATTTAAGAAAAGACAATTAGCTTTTCATTAGCTATTTTTTTATGCTATTTATAAGAAGAAATGACAATGATCAGGAATTACCCCAGTGATCAATAATTACCTTA